ATGCACGAAGCTGCCAAGTTTTGCTGCTTTACACTTGCATTTATGTCTCCTTGCTTTCTATTATATCGTGTTGGTTTAAAATTTATAACTGTGGACACGTATATTTAATGTATATTGTTATTTTAAAGCATAATATAAAATTAAGTGATCAATTATATTATGTGTCGTAGATATTAAAGTGACGTGAAATCAAAGTATAGATATTATAAGTTGTATTTATTTAACCAAGTTGATATTATTTAACTCAGACGACATGATTTCACGAATGATTAACTCTGTCTCAGTTAAAGTTGTTTTCCGATAAAAACAACGGTTCCTTTATCTTGGCCTTCAATTAAAACCTAAGTCGAACCTTGGGACTTCAAGATGAACTATGAAATGTTTTTGTTGGAAAAATTGTGATAAATTGAAAATTTTGAGGCATATTTTTTAAGAGTAAAGATGGAGATTCAAATAATGAATATACTAATTCATATCTACTCCGTGAGGTTGAGTGATGAATGAGAAATTTATACTCAAAGTAGGGTACATGCGAATTGTGTTGTGTAAGAAAAATGAGAAAATCCATATCTCATATTAATGGGATAACACACGTGTGAATTGTTTATATACATCAACAAACTTATTAATCATTCAATGACTTGAGTTAAGATTGTGCATCGCTTGGACGCACCCACCCGATATGGGCAACGTGAATGTTTGGACCAATATTAATATGGTATGACTTGTAGTTCACAAATATATTTTAATGAAAGCGGTATCAATTGATTATTTATTATTTTATTCGGATACTAATTAATAGCTTTATTTTTTTTCATAATATATTGTTTCCAATTCTTCTTAAACACTATAAAACCATGTAAACCTACTATCTTTTACACAACTCAAACACTCTTCTTTCTCTCTCTATTTTTCGGTGATAGCCTCAGGCAAGATATAGTTCGTTATCGCTGCAGTTGTGCTATTGTATCGTGCTCATCTTGTTGTTGTATCCTGGGAAACAGACGACCAAAAATCTCGAGTACCAAGGAGTGACCGAAAATCTATCTTAAGGAAACTGTGTTCCTACAGGCCTCAACTACTTTGAATTTGTTATTCAGTCGACAATAGAATTTTTATCCTGAACTTTATTCTTTTATTTATTAATAAAATTATTTTTTTCCTTTTATTTTCATGTCTCGGATTGTTATATTGTAACAGTTTTTTTAGGGTTTTTTTCTCGACGGAATAAACGACTTTGAGTGTGTTATTGAACTAATCGACAACACTGATGTTCACAAGCTTCTCACACCAACCTCCCACGCAAGTCAGCACGCTCTGGTTCATGCAGTTGATAGCCTTTGTCGTAGGGTATGGATGGTAGATTTTTTCTGATCAATCGAGAAGTCAATTCGTCCCGATGTCGTAGCTAAATGTGATGCTCCCCAAATGGATCTCTCGTAGTTTTCGGATGACCCCTAATCAACTAGTTGACATCATGTCTAGAAATAAATTTTATATTATTAATATATACGTGTTCATGCTCACAAATATTTCTAAACCCACCGCTGACGAGGGAATAGAGATGTGGATAAAACTTTTGGCAATGCTATTAACATTTAGGCAAGACTTTATGGTTACCATATAACTATTAATTGCAAGCAATTTAGATAAGTGAGAAGAATCCATCACCCAACAACCACATAATTGAAATCTGCATTTAATTCCAGGTGAATGGACTTTTGACAATGAATAGCAAATACTACATTCATAAACCCTAAACCCACATTTATATTGACGTTTTGATATATATATACAGACAAGCCTGTAGTAATTTGATGAAGCTTACTATATTCAGTTTGTATGGCTACCTCTACAGTTTCCCGTCAGTTAAAGGGATGGTCTTGATAACAAGGCCGGGGAAAACGTCGTCGGGATTGTGGACGTGAGGGTTACACTCGACGATAAAAGGAAATGTTATTATTCATTTAGGTTTTGAGTTTGAGTAGCTACAAGATGTGTGTGCATTGTCAACAAGTTAAGAAAATTATAAATAAATATTACCTTGTAATCGCACCAGACTATTAAAAAAATATTCGAAACATTCACAAGAGGTAAAACTAAGATTCAGGACAATATTAATTAGTGTAAATTACCTATTTTATCACCCCATCTATTTTTATTTTTCTGTTTTTTGTCACCCAACAATATTTTTTTTTTTTGCAAAACCAACATAATGTTATCTTTTGTTTCTATTTTGGCACCACGTCGTTAATTTTGATTGTTGACTTAACGAAGATAGTGACATGGCTTAGTATGATAATAGTTTTAGTCCCTAAAACCTATTCGTTGTATCAATTTGGTCCTACTTCAAAATAATCCAATAAATCCTTAATATTTTAAAATTCTATCAATTTTGTCCCCGTTTTAATTTGAAATAATTTAATAATTCAATAAATTTAACCCTATGACAAGACGACAACACATGTCAAAAGTTAAGTGATTCAATTTGAATAAAGATTTTTAGTTCTTTTAAAACCATAGATTAAATCTGATTCAATAATAAGTTTGGGAGTAAATTCTAAACCTAAATTTTTAAAGGAATCATACTAAAATTTTGCCTTCTTTTGGAACTTTACACCCTATCCCAGAACTCTAGTCGTTCGTCACTCACTCCCTTCTTCCATAAACCTATCGTCGGTCGCCGTTACTCGTCGGTCGTTCAACACCACAAACGTCATTCATCATGAACCCCATCGGCACCACCAAATAATGAAATTACTTTAAACGAAAACAATAAGTAAATTGATAGAATTTTAAAATATTGAAGATTTATTGAATTATTTCGAATTAAGACGAAATTGATAAAATGTACAAGTTTTAGGGACTAAAACTATTATTATACAAAACCATATCATCGTATCCATTTAGTCAACAGTCAAAATTAATATTGGATTTTAAAATAGAAATAAAATTTAGCTATAATTTTAGAATAAAAATAATTGATTGACCAAAATAAAAACGAGAGAATAATAGTTGACCAAATAAGTTTATCCTACAAATTATTATTAAGAGTCAAACAACTATTTGATGACCGTTACTTCATAATTTTTTTCCTGAAAGAACCCTAGACAAATTTTATATATTTTATAAATTAAATATAAATATAAATATAAAATATAAATGATTTTTCGTAATTAAATATGGATTTAAAGGGGGAAATTTGCAAAGAATAATACTCTATTTTTTATTTCAGTCCAAGACCAGTCCACTATGCCAACTACACTTTGACCGAAGAAAATAAGAGTAAACTTTGACCCCCAAATATAGAGTAAATTATATTTTTACTATCTCAATTATCACTTTTGTTCTGTTTTTATCACTTGATTATTTTATTCAAAATCATAACTAACGTTATATTTTGGTATGTTTTTGAAAAGGAAAATAATTGAGTGACCAAAATAGAACAAAAATGATAGTTGATGCACTAAACTTGTAGTTTACCCTATTTTACTTACTGTACTTTTGATTTTTCCAATTTTTTCAATTTACTATATGAACTTTCGATTTGTTTTTGTTTTGATCACTCTAAATTATTTTATTATTATTTTTCCACTACATGAATTTTTTTATTATTAAAATATAAAAATAATTTAAAGTAAATGATAAAATAATATTTTTTATTATTAAATTTAAAAACATTTAAAATAATCATCGCCCACGTCGATCACCATTAACCATCGTTGGTCTACAGAACCAACAATCGTTCAGTCTCAAATTTTATAGGTTGCTTCTGCTTGACTCCTGAGTCCGAATATGGTAGTTGTTTCGGAGAAAAATGTCTCAAAATACGTGAATCTTGATTAAAATATTCCACTTTCTTCACTTTCGATCTTCTATTCGTGGATTTCATAGCATGTTTCGATAAAATGAAGTTTATATTCAAACTAAGGGGGTTGATGTGAAGCGACTCATGAAATCTGGGACCGAACGACCACTATCTACATTGGTCGACGACAATCGATGTTTTGGTTTTCTCATTTTTTGTATCAGTTTCAGAGCATGTTTCAGGGGAAAAAATGGATGTCGGATCTTGACTTAGGTGCCGAGACAAAGAGGTCGATGAAATTTGAAATCGAGCGGACACCATCTTTAGTCGTCGACGGTGACATCCAGATAGTCATTTTCTTTTTTATTTTATATTAAAATGAAATCAAAACGTAACTTTAGACATATTTTTAAAAAAAATAATAATAATTGGATGATAAAAATGGAATAAAAGTGATAGTTAAAGTACTAAACGTATAGTTTACCCTTAAAATTATTGTATATTTTTACTGTCTAATGGTATTTATGTTATATATTTTATTATCATTAATTTTTATAATTATTATTTTTATTACATGGGAGAATTACACGTCATTCTCAGTTCCTCTCTGCATACTATAGCTTTTCATTTCTTTAGGGGTTCCAAAAGTTCTTAAACTTGTAAATTTTTATTATCTAAAAAGGTTTAAGGGTAAACTACACCATTAGTCACCAATCTATTATTTCATTTCTACTTCAGTCATTATTAAACTGTTTTTTTATCAAATTATCACTAACGTTATATTTTTTATTTTAATCACTGAATGTTAAAAAATTAATGAAGATATTAATGTCAATTTTTTTTTAAATATTTTTTAGTTTCTATGTCATTTTATCTCTCCTCGTTAGTAAGCAACATATCATTTTTAAAATACTTTTATTTGAACTAATAAACACGAACTAAGTGATCTCGTTGATAAATGAATTATTATTGTTCTTTGAGATCTCGGGTTCGAACAGTATAAATATTAAAAGTGTGAGATTCAATATCAAATGATTGAGAATTATTTTATACCGTATTGTAATTTTCCGGATTAATAAAAAGAAAATAACTAATAAAATGCTCGCGTGGTTTATAAATCATTGGCCACTCTCTCCCTCTCCTTTCTCACTGGCTTCCATTCTCTTTTCTTTACCCCCCCCCCACCCACAAATTATTTTTCAGTTAATTATGGCTCCAACTTCACGTGTACTTCTCCGGCAATGAACCATGGTCTTTTTCCGGAGACTCTTCGGCGCCAAAGAACGGAGGCGTTGGAGCTTTGCTAGTTCTTCCAATCCCACGTCTTCAACTTCCCATACAGATGATGCATGCGGCGACACGTTGTATGCCAACAAGGACGCCATAGCAGTGGCGGCCGCCTCTGCTGCCGTAGCCAAGGCTGCTCTCGCGGCTGCTGAGGTCGTTAGACTGACAACAAGTGGGGTTGGCAATGGCAGCAGCAACCGACGCCTCTCACAGGATGTGTCGGCCGCCGTCGGAATACAGTCCGCTTTTCGAGGTTATCTGGTTAGTATTTTCTTTACTTTGTTCGTTCTTATGAACTACCAACTTTACTTCGCTCTCTTTGATCTGCAAAAACATATTCCAGACTGTCTTGCGTATAGTATTTTCATTTACCTTGGATTTGTTGCGATCGTGGACACAACAGATGTTATCGCAGTAGTTATAAGTATCACAGTCATACAATAATGGTTTTGGACAACACCATTATAACATACCGCTATTTAAATCCCTCGAAAATAGTGTCCTTTCACGGTAAAGCTTTTCACTAGGCCACTGATTTCCTGTTATCTTCTACCCCATCTTCACTGTCTTATTTTTTATCTACTCACGAGCCTTCGAGGGGCGTGCTTTAATTTCTAGTATTTTTGGGGTTATGGCCTATGGGAGGAAGATGAGGAAGCCAGTCATCAATCCCTCAAATGGCTCTAGTTTCTCACTTATTTGTTTGGTTTTATGGTAAAGAACGAGTCCGTGAAGTGATGGGCTATAAAGAGGCAGCTGAGTTGTAGTGACCTGTTTAGCAAAATTCACTTTCATTTTTCTTCTTCCTGCTGGTGTTCCTTTTTTTTGTCTCTTACTCTGTTAAAAGAAGCTGCAATTATGGCGAATATTTTCCATATCTGCAGAAAAGAATGTAATCATAAAGCTGCATTGCTTCCACTTTTTGATTATCTGATATGAAATCACAACAAGTTCTACACATATGTTCTGTAAAATGATTTGTGTCAAAATTGGTTTCTTACCGTTTGGTGAATCTTCTTTCAAATGTAACATGTAAGTTAAGTTCCTAGCTTTATTCTGATTTGAACCATAACAATTGAATTAAAGCTGCAAAGTCCTGTTTAAATTAGCACTGCTACCTGTAGGTGTTGTAAATTTCTTGCAAGGGTTATCATGCAATCAATTACATGGATGGTTTTTGGTTAATCTGATGTTGATGGTGCTTGATTCTTCGACTGGTGCAGGCACGGAGGGCACTGAGAGCCTTGAAAGCATTGGTTAAGCTTCAAGCACTAGTGAGAGGCCACTTGGTGAGAAAGCAGGTGGCAGACATGCTCAGACGCATGCAGGCATTGGTCCGACTGCAAGCTCGGGCCCGTGCTAGTCGCGTACATGCGACGAAGTCTTTAGATTCAGTCGTCAAGATGTCCAGACTTACACGAAACGCCGTAAGCATATCACTCTACTCTCGTCGAGATGATGTTTAGGGTCCATTTACGAAAATGATGTGGAAGGTCCATGTTAGGCAGAATATATCCTTTTGATGTGCTTGCTTTGAGCTAACATGAAATGCATAATTGGCAGTTTGCCTCTGCAGATTCCCATTTAGCATTCTCTGGTATGCTTTTCTGCATAAATTCGATTTTAAAGGAAGAAGAAGGCGATTCGTGCAAAATTTTCGTTCAAATCAACTGATGCTTTCTGTTTAGCTTATACCAATAATACCATATTATGGAACTTCAAATCAGCCTTGAATATAGCTTTTGTTCATGCAGAGAAGTGGCTCAAATTCAAACCTGAGGGACATCATTGATATAGGGAAAGCACGGACGGGTTCGAATCGGTTGGACCGTCGGACGGAGGATAGCTTATGGTACAACCGTAGAGATGGTCCATTTAGCTGTAGGCATGCTGATGATGAGAAGAGACACAAAATTCTTAAAGTTTATACTTGGAAACCTCACTTGAACTCCCAACAGAGTCACAAATATTTTAGGCCATCTCAGCATTATTTAACTTCAGATTATAATCCGAGCTTAACGGCGTACGATTTCCCGAGAAAACCATCTGGAAAAGCTTCGAATCCGATACCAGATATCTTTTCAGCAGAAGTTTTCTCATTAAACTCCATGAAAAATCCTGGAGGTGAGGATGAAGAAGTTCTAAGAACAGCTGACAACAGCCCACAAGTGCATTCTGCATCATCTAGGCCTGGAAGCAGTGCACGTACAAGCCCTTTCACTCCAACAAGGAGTGAATGCTCATGGCAATCTTTAATTGGATATTCCGGTCACCCAAATTACATGGCCAACACCGAACCATCCTGGGCTAAGTATCGGTCACATAGTGCCCCAAGGCAGAGGCTTGAGTTCGACAAGTACGGTTCAACCCGAACAACTTCTCAGGGCTTGTGGCATTCAGGTACTAACTCAGAAAGAGATTTTCCTCATAATATTGAGTTCAGGTACATGGCTCATCCGACATCGAATCGCTCGTATCGTCCTCGTAGTGCCAACCGAAGGGAATGATCGACGATGATCGTCGCTTCCCTTTCCTCGTGCCTGATAGCAGCCTTGTGTGCTAGTATTGTAATTAGTCGCCATCCATGATGTTAAAAGTTAAAACTGTGGATTCACGGGTGCTTAATCCGTCTAATCTGCTTTGGCCCCAATTGTCTGGTCCATCTAACATGGTGATAATGACAGTGAACAGCCAATATTCTTTTGTTTCCGTACAAGTAAAAATGACGCCTTGGATTCTCAGAACTGACAATCGTTCGGACAAGGTGAATCATACAGTGTTTTGCAGATCGGACAAAGATCAAATCATGCACTCTATGTGATTCACATGATATTGAAATTCTCAGTTTGATTTTTATTTTTTTAACATTATAGTTTCCACGTTTTGTTTTGCGCCAAAATAACTAATGGTTGAATGAAAATTATTAATTAACTAATGATCGGTATGTATGTGTCTAAAGTGATTTCAAAGTGATAATATGACACTGTCATATGTACATTAATATTGACGTAACATGTTCAAACGTTTATCATTTTGGATATATGATATATGTTATATCATCACTTTAGATACGTTAAATATGTAACGTCAGTATTTATACATACATTATCACTTTGAACATATAATATGTATTATGTCATTGCTTTAGACACATGATATACATGTAAACATCTTTGGCATAATATGCAATCATTATAGAGATGTAAAAGTAATTACAACAACGGTCCTCGGATGTTTAAAAGAAAGAAAGCAAAATCAGACGAGACATCACTCACAATTAACAACTATGCATTTACAAAATGAATGTAGGAAGAAGAGATCTCCAAAGAGGATGGTAGCTTATGCAGTGCTAGTTTTCATTGCAATCCCATCTAGAGGTGGAGACGCAGGTTAGATAGCGACACCAACGGCAGTGATCGTTTCCGTTTTCTCCCCGGAACAGCATCACCGATGCTACTGTCAACCTGCATTAAGAGTGAACCATGTGAACTAAGAGTGAAGAGAACCAATTACTTGAAGCATCAATGGTACCAAGTACCTACCCCACAACCAGCAGGACCACGGAAACCAGCCACAGGGCATATTGGTAAGGCTTGTAATTGGATTTAAAAGGAGTACCAGCTGGAAGATTCTCTCTCTCTAACGACCCGAACTGAGGACGACATAGCAGAACGAAGCCGAGGAGAAACCCGGTGATGAGCCCACCGATATGAGCAAAATTATCAACATGTGGCAAAATCCCTATTGCAAGGTTAATGGCAATGATGATCAAAAGAGAGAACAAAGCCGCAGCCTGTGGAATATCAAGAAGGGACCAATCAATACAAAGGTGTCACTAATAAGGCCATTAATAGTAGGATACTGATGAACATATCTTTCACCTTGTTTGTGTATGTATGTGTACATATTTGCTACAAGATTCCATGATCAAGTAAATGGAAGGATTGATATTGCTCACCTTGTTTGTGTATATGCTCCAGTTGGTGATAAGTTCAGAAAGCATTGCACCAAGAAGCCCGAAAAGAGCGCCGGAAGCACCGACAGAGATGTTGTTTCGGTTAAATAGAGAGGAAAGCACACTCGCACCGAATCCTGACAAGAGGTAAATGATTCCTACCCGCACTGCCACATTGCGAATCCGTAACGAAAAATATCAGATCATCCCATTATCTCAGACTCCAATCACCACTGAAATCAGTTCAGCATGTTGCATAAAGAGTAGGAACAGAAGGAGAAACATACCGAATCCGAACTGTTGTTCGAGGCGTATGCCAATGAAGACCAGGCTCAGCATGTTAACTAGAAGATGAATGATGCCGGCATGCAGCCAAATGCAGGTAATAAGCCTCCATCCTTGATGGTTAATCACAACTTTGGTCCACTCAAGGGCTCCCAACTTATTCAATCTAAACAAAGTGAAAAATATATATTCGTTTTAAAGGGGAATCCAATGAGGTCTATATCAGCAAAATCACACTTGGCCATTGCAAAATCATCCATTCTTACCTTATTATAAACTATCATTTTCCCCAATAGTCCAAATTAACAATGTCAAAAGGAAACTAACAATCATTTTCTACATAAAAATTCCACAACTTATGGATTGGAAAAAGAAAGCAGTTTCAGTAAAGTTGCAGGCTAAGAACAAAAGAAGATGAAAGTGAAAAAAGGGGAATGAGTAAATATACGTTGAAGAAGAGGGACCAAAGAGAGGATTCTCCCTCAAAGGCTCAAAAGAGAAGCGTCCAAGAAACGTTGCCACGCAGTTGCCGGCAAGCCTCGTGTGCCTGTGATCCGAACAATTGTTGACATACATAACGACGACAAAAACAGAAACATTAGCCACCACGACCATGGGAACCAACCACGATGTCCATTGGGAATCAGTATCCACAATCACGTAAGTTGATGAAGATGCATAAACGCTGCTCCTATTATTGTTGTTGTCGTCATCGTTGTTATAGCTGTTCCTCTTCACCGTTCCTTCCCTGCTCTCGATGTCATCATCCCCTGGCATTTTTCACTTTCTACCTCGAAACCAACGGCGAAAGAGGAGAAAAAAGACTAGTGATTTTGGGATCTGCCTCTTGAAAAGATTGGATTTTTTATCGACGCGGTAGTGTGGGTTTAATGTGAAGGTCGGATGGGAGATGGGACACCGGTATTTCTGGTTTCTAACAGCCAGGGAGAGCCATGATCGGTTGCCATGTAAGAAGTAATATTGTCTGGTGATTTCGAGGAGAGATTTGATTGGTTTTTGGAGTTTGTAGGAGTTTGGTCCTTGGCACATGAGATGCCGGCTCCAGGTACGCGCACTACTCGGACAAGACGCGCCGCCCACACGTTTTTGCTTTTCGGAATAGTAGGGCCTCTTGACTTCGTTACAAGCAAAAGCTAAAAGATTACTCTTTGGGTACATTTTAGCAAAATTCGACTAGATTTAATTTTTTTTAAGTTATTTGAGTCAATTTTAATTATCAATTTGGTTTTTAAGTTCAAGTTAAGTTGAAATTTTGAGTAACTCGAAAAAAATAAAAATTTGACTAAATATTTTGATAATTTTACGATTTATTCATTTAATTTCTCTTTCATTTAATTTCTCCTTCATATTAAATCTATTTTTTTTTAAATTTGAACTATATACTCTCAAACCATCGTAGAGTATATATACACTTTCAATTACTCTTTTTGATAACAAATTTTTTATATTTCAATTCAAACCCTCAATTTTTTATAATTTTATTATATCTTCAATTCATGCTTTATTTTAAGAGTATTTTTTATCAAATTTAAAACACATGTTAATATGCCGCAATAGAATACCTATATAACTTCAATTATTACTTTTTTCACTAAAAATATAGTCTCTTTTTTATTTAATCTCTTAACTTTACATTTTACTCAATTTGGTTTGTTGACTACAATTGTTTGCAAATTCTTTTTTCTCATCAATTCCTCGACTCCTTTATACTCTCATCAATATTTTACTCTCAAAATACTTTCTTTAAAATATAATATTATGAATATATTTTATAATTTTAGATTGTATGTGATATATTAAATAACATTATAATGTGGAAAAGAATATAAAATATATAGAAAATCGAACAACTCGAATTAGTCTCTTGACTATTGAAAGTTTCAAAATGATCCTCCGACTAGAGTATTGTTTTGTTGAATCTGATAAACATAGTATATATACATACATTCAAAATCATCAGTAAATAGGTGTAAAAGTAATTACAACAACAGTCTCCGGATGCTTAAAGAGAGAAAGCAAAGACAGATTAATTATCATCACAGATTTGTATGCTATATATACGGTTAGGATGAAAGCTTATGCGGTGCTAGTTCCGGTCGCAGTACCCTCTCGCGGTGGTGACACAGGTTAGAAGTCGACACCAACGGCAATGATCGTTCCCGTTTTCTCCCCGGAACAACATTACCAATGCAACAGTGAATCTGCATTTTACAAGCATAAGAAACAACAGTGTCAGGCGTGTGACAATTAGATAGAGCTACCTCTTGCAGAAGCATGGAATTCGAAACGACTTCAATATAAACAGTGCAAGACATGTTTCCGGTTTCTTCCTGATCTCGAGAATCTCATAAAGATTATCGTCTCGGGCCATGGAAACAAGTAACCCGCCAACAAGCGACCTAATCGAGAGCCTGCCTTACATGTTACTCGCAGACATTGTGGAGATGGAACCACTAATCCGGCATGACAAATGAATCTATGATATGGCAAGTCGTTTTCGTGATACCGATGATTTTGTAGATAAAAATGGCCATTCAAGCCATTAAGGTCACCAAACTACGATCATCTTAAAACCAATTGAAGCATGAATGGTACCTACCCCACAACCAGCAGCACCAAGGAAACCAACCCCAGGGCATATTGGTAAGGCTTGTACTTGGATTTAAAAGGAGTACCAGCCGGAAGATTCTGCTGCTCGAACTGCCCAGACTGAGGACGAGATAGCAGAACAAAGCCAAGGAAAAACCCAGTTACGAGCCCGCCGATATGAGCAAAATCATCGACGTGTTTTGCGGGCGAAAGGCCTAGTGCAAGGTTAATGCCAATGAAGACTAGAAGAGTGAACAAATGTAGCAGCTGTGGAAAGACAAGGGGTCATTCATAAGACCATGAACATGTTGTTCAAAACATAGCCTATATAATGGAAGAGTCAATATTGTTCACCTTCTTTCTGTATATGGTCCAGTTGGTAATAACTTCAGAAATCATTGCACCAAGGAGCCCGAAAACAGCACCAGAGGCCCCAACGGAGATACCGTCTCTGATAAATAGAGCGGAAAGCACACTCGCACCGAGTCCCGACACGAGATAAATAATTGCAACCCGCACTGCGACATTGCGAATTCGTAACAACAAATATCAGATCATCACATTATCTCAAACTCTAATCTATAGACAGCTAGGGGGGATGCAAGACCAGATGCTTAAATCGACACTGAAATTCAATTCAATGTATTGCATAACGAGTATGAACAAGCTGTAAGATGAAGTTCAAACAGGAGGGAAAACATACCGAACCCGAACTGTTGCTCGAGGCGTATACCGATGACGAGCAGGCTCAGCATGTTGGCTAGAAGATGAAGAACACCGGCATGCAGCCACATGCAAGTAATAAGCCTCCATCCTTGATGCTTAATCACAACTTTGGTCCACTCAAGACCACCCAACTTATCCAATCTGCCGAGGTAAAAACATGTCTTCATTATAAGAAAAGAAAATCAAATCCCAAACACAATCTAACATCCACACCTAAATCCAAGCAACGTGCTTCGTATCGGAACCCCAATGGTGCAAAAGCTCTACTAAAAATGACCCAAATTCATAACTCGAACTCATAAAAGAACATGAAAGTAAAGGGTACAAGTAAATATACGTTGCAGAAGAGGGACCAAAGAGGTGGTTCTCTCTCAAAGGCTCAAAAGAGAGGCGTCGAAGGAACCTCGCCACACACTGGCCGGCAATCCTCGTATGTCTGTGCTCCGGACAGTTGTTGACATACATAACAATGACAAAAACAGCAATATTAGCCACCACGAACAGAGGCACCAACCACAATGTCCATTGCGAATCGCTCGCGTTTTTGTTGTTCCAGCTGTTCCTTCCTCCCCTGCTCTCTATATCATCCCCTGCCATTTTCCACTTTATTCCTCAATAAACCAACACTTAACAAAGAGAAAAGACCGCGTGTTGTAGGGTTCGGTTCTGCTACTCGACATACAACAGCAGCTGTTGTCAGGGAAATCTGGTAAGACCCATGATTGAGTTTTTCGAGTTTTGCTGGGTTTGGTCTTTGGCACAGAGGATGATGTATTGGCTCCATTTACGCGCTTTGCCCACGCTTTTGGCAGTTGAAGAACACGGTACACGGTTTTAAAAAGTGTGGGGTCGCGCCTTAATTTACAAGCCGAAACAAATGAAAGATGGGTAAACTACCTAAATGGTCCTTAAAATGTGAGTAACTTTCTCTTTTTCAGCACCGCGGTTTCAAAAATAACGAAGCAATCGTTAATGTTATCGTTTTCTAACAAATCGGTCACTCGATTGTTAACGGCCGTTATCGTATTCATAAAAGCTCGATATATAATGTTCGAGTTGGCACCGTTTAACCACGTTAACACCCTTTAATCTGACTAAACAAATATAAATCTCCCTTATCCAATGAAGAATGCTTAAAATCAGACCTATAAATAAAAAGAAACAAAAGAACTATGAGAGGAAGTGTCCATTTGAAGGAGAAATGTTAATTAAAAAGAAGAAAATAGAAATTAAGTTGGAGATTTTGAAGAGAGAGAGGAACTTATGATTTCAAGGTTAAATTATTTTAGTGATAATTTCACTTATTTAAGTGAAATTTAGACTCTAGAAGACCTATTTAATTTAAATGTAAAGTTTAAGGACCATATAGTATGGCAGGGGATAATAAAAAAATAACAGTAAATCTCTGGCAATCATAGTAGAAAGGGCTTACTTTTGTTGTAGAATTAACGGTTCTATAACAATATTTTATGTTGAAAGAACAAGACTTTATAACTTATTATATTATTTTTTAGAAAGAGAAAATCTCTGTAATTTTTAGGGTAAATTACACGTTTAGTACTTAAACTATTACTTTAATTTTATTGTGGTGTCTATATTTTATTTCTATGAATCATACCTAACGTTTAATTTAGGTTTTATTTTGATACTTCGTCGTTAAAAAGTTAACAGTGATGTTGACATGTCACTATAATATAATGTCATGCTATCATAGATTTTGTTTTAAAAAAATTGTCATATCAAGTGTTCTGTTGTTTTTTTTAAATGACATATACTAATTTAAAACTTAAATTAATTGTTATATATGATTTTGAAAAAAAAATTAAATACCATAACGAATAAAAATAATAGTATAGACACTAAACTTATAATTTATCTAATTTTTTAATAATTTTATACTAGTATAAGAATAAAATTATATATTATGGCAGGGCCAGGGGCCCAATGACCCTTCGCCGAGGAGGTGATTGACATTAATTTTACATTAAAAGAAAATATGAAATCGTGAAGTTTAAAAGCGATAATGTTATACATTAGACATGTCATTTGAGAATAAGATAATAGTTTTTTTGAGAATAAGATAATAGTCTTGTGACAAGTGGTATCAAAATGACATTTTAACTGTTTAATTTCACGTTGAATACCCTAATAGGTGGGGAAAGTAATAAGGGTAATCGTGACGGTGGCATGTAACAAGGACGTCACAAGATTGAGCGAGGGAGAAGGTCACACCTAAAATTAAAAAATAGTGATGTTACACATGTCGAAAACATATCTTTTAAAAAGAAAGTAATGACTATAAATCTTGAATCTAGGGTCGAGACCAATACACATCAGGCTGTCCAAGACAGATTAAATATCATCACAGATTTGTATGCTATAAATATACATGCATATATACGGTTAGGATGAAAGCTTATGCGGTGCTAGTTCCGATCGCAGTACCCTCTCGCGGTGGTGACACAGGTTAGAAGTCGACACCAACGGCAATGATCGTTCCCGTTTTCTCTCCGGAACAACATTACCAATGCAACAGTGAATCTGCATTTTACAAGCATAAGAATCAACGGAGTCAGGCGTGTGACAATTAGATAGAGCTACCTCTTGAAGAAGCATGGAATTCGAAACTACTTCAATATAAACAGTGCAAGACATGTTTCCGGTTTCTTCCTGATCTCGAGAATTACCGTCCCGGCTGACGAGCGACCTAACCGAAAGCCTGACTTACATGTTACTTGCAGACATCATGGAGATGGAACCACAAATCCGGCATGACAAATGAATCTATGATATGGCAAGTCGTTTTCGTGATACCGATGATTTTGCAGATAAAAATGGCCATTCAAGCCATTAAGGTCACCAAACTACGATCATCTTAAAACCAATTGAAGCATGAATGGTACCTACCCCACAACCAGCAGCACCAAGGAAACCATCCCCAAGGCATATTGGTAAGACTTGTACTTGGATTTAAAAGGAGTACCAGCCGGAAGATTCTTCTGCTCGAACCACCCAAACTGAGGACTAGATAGCAGAACAAAGCCAAGCAGAAACCCAGTTAGGAACCCGCCAATATGACCAAAAGTATCGACATGCTTTGCAGGCGAAAGACCTATTATTGCAAGGTTAATGCCAATGAAGACTCGAAGAGTGAACAAAAGTTGCGGCTGTGGAAAGACAATGGGTCATTAATAAGACCATGAACATATTGTACAAAGCACAGCCTATTATGATGGAAGAGTCAATATTGTTCACCTTCTTTCTGTATATGGTCCAGTTGGTAATAACTTCAGAAATCATTGCACCGAGAAGCCCGAAAACAGCACCAGAGGCACCAACGGAGATAGTGTTTCGTATAAATAGAGCGGAAAGCACACTCGCACAGAATCCCGACACGAGATAAATAACTCCAACCCGCGCTGCGACATTGCGAATTCGTAATAACAAATCATCACATTATCTCAAACTCTAATCTATAGACATTTAGGGGGGGATGCAAGACCAGATGCTTAAATCAACACTGAAATTCAATTCAATCTATTGCATAACGAGTATGAACAAGCGGTAAGGTGAAGTTCAAACAGAAGGGAAAACATACCGAACCCGAACTGTTGCTCGAGGCGTATACCGATGACGAGCAGGCTCAGTATGTTGGCTAGAAGATGAATAACACCGGCATGCAGCCACATGCAAGTAACAAGCCTCCATCCTTGATGGTTAATCACAACTTTGGTCCACTCAAGACCACCCAACTTATCCAATCTGCCGAGGTAAAAACATATCTTCATTATCAGAAAAGAAAATCATTCCGTAATATACTTTTTTCCGCTTCTTTCTTTTCACTTTTCCTCCTGCAAGCAAGTTTAACACACTCTATCTAACATCCACGCCTAAATCCAAGTAACGTGCTTCATATCGAAACCCCAATGATCCGAAAGCTCATCTTTGAACACATACTCCAAAATTCAAAAATCCAAAATTCATAACGATTAAAGAGTAACCAGAAAATAACATAAAAGTAGAGGGTACAAGTAAATATACGTTGCAGTAGAGGGACCAAAGAGATGGTTCTCTGTCAAAGGCTCAAAAGAGAAGCGTCGAAGAAACCTCGCCACACACTGGCCTGCAATCCTTGTGTGTCTGTTCTCCGGACAGTTGTTGACATACATAACAACGACAAAAACAGCAATATTAGCCACCACGAACAAAGGCACCAACCACAATGTCCATTGTGAATCGCTCGTGTTTTTGTTGTTCCGGCTGCTTCTTCCTCCCCTGCTCTCTATATCATCCCCTGCCATTCTTGACTTTCTTCCTCAGAAAACCAGCACTTTACAAAGAGAAAATACTGTACTTACGCGCTCTGCCCACGCTTTTTGCAGTTGAAGGAACACGGTCACACTATTTTAAACAGCGGTGATTCGCGCCTTAATTAACAAGCCAAAGCAAATGAAAGATGGGTAAACCACCTAAATGGTCGTTAAAATATGAGTAACTATCTCTTTTTCACCACTTCAGTTTAAAAAATAATGAAGCAATCATTGATATTATCGTTTTCTAACGAATCGGTCACTCGATTCTTAACGGTCGTTATTGCATTCAATAAGAGTTATCGAATTGGCACCGTTTGACCACGTTAACACCCTTTAATTTGACTAAAAAAATAACTCACTCGAAATTGCGTTCACAATCGACGCATTGCCAGTTATCGAATTGACCTTTCATTTTATAAAACTGTCACACTCTAATTTTAAGGTTAATTTTTTCGAGTAATAATTTTACTTATTTAAGTGAAATTTAGACTCTAAAGAACCTATTTAGTTTGAATGTAAAGTTTAAGGACCCAATAGTTTGGGAATTCAAATTATTAAGGATTGAATTGCAACTCTCGTAAATTGTCTATCAAGTTTATAAATTCTAAAACCTTAGGGAACATATGTAACACCTTAAATTTTAAAAATTGAATTTGACTGACCGGGTGTGATTTTTCTCTATTAAACTAATATTTTAATCGGTATTAAACAATTTTTAATAATAAAATAAATTCGATAACTTTTTAGATTTTCAAATGTGAAATAGAATATTTTACGAACTATCTCATACCAAGTTAAGAATAAATTAAAGTATATATATATATATTATGAAGTACTTTTTTATAATTGTTTTTTGGTAAACTATGTTATTAATATCTTTTGTTTTTCGGACTGATTGGCTTTGGTCACCGATTTTTTAATTAAGTGTGTTTGATCCTTAACGTTATCGATTCGTCTTGTTCAAGTCCTTCTGATATTAACTTCTATTAACCTTTAACGAAAGTTTATATGATCGTCAATAGCAAAGACCCGGAGAAGTACCCAAGTGGCCCCATCACACGAACAAAGGCTAAGGAATTTCAAACAGCCATGGAGAGTATGTTTACATCACATTTGGAACGTGATAAAGAAGGAATAATAAGGGAGGAACACTTTACTTTGCTTATGCATGAATTTGCATGAGAATTTAAAGTTTGCATAACATTTATTGCATTTAATAAGCGAGATGTTCATTCAAGCATGCATTGCATTTAAATCATTTAGTTCATTTAGGGAAGTAGTTCATTCAACTAGTTCGTTTATTAAATTAACTCTTAATTGTTTCATGCATGTTTTCAATTAAATATTGAATAAAGTTCACCTTTGAGTCTAGGTGAATGAGAGAAGTTGAATGGTTTCATAATATGCAATAATGTCAGTCAGAATGTCTTCCAATTC